TGAAATAGAGAGACACCTACGAGACAGCCCATGCTGCTATTATACACGCATTGCCTTTGCTTAGCTCCTAACTGAACATGCCCGTGCGGTTTATTAGGTGTCTGGCAGCTTTCATGCAGCTTATTTATTTAATTTCATCATCTACCCAGAGATAGGAATTATTATCATTCCTTTGCACATGACTGAATTGGGCGCACAGGACTTCACTATGTCAGCTGGGGCACTCGCGTCCCACAAGCAGTCAGACTCAAGTTCAGTGCTTTTCCCACTCTGCCTGTGTGTTGACTGCGAGGGACCTTGTTTCTACTTTGATGTTTTCACTTTGTGTATTGCACTGCACATGGGAATTAGGTCTGAGTCGCATTTTAAAAGTCTGCACGATTCATCCTTTCATATGCTTGTAGTTGGCAGCGATGTTCAGAGTTGTCACATGCACATGCATTTCTCATATACAGGAAACTGCTAAATGTTTTACTGCACACGTGTAGACAGCAAAGTCGATAGCCAGGAGTTGACCCTCAGACATAGCGGCAGACACATAGACATGAATAGAGGCTTGAATGTATTCTGAAGACATGCTTCCCTTGGAGCTGATTATAGAGGATGCACACGAGGGAGAAATCCTCAGTGCCCAAATCAGATCAACACCACTCTTGAAATCATAGTAGAGAGATTATTTTAATTTTGAGAAATGTTTGGAATTACCAAACTCTTAAGAGAATAATCTAACAAATACCCATGTGCCCACCTCCCGGAAAATAAAATTGTCAGCATTTTGTCCTATTTGTCAAGGTTTTTAAAGTGACATTGCAATCTCTTTTGTCTTCCATGCCCAAGCCAGTCCCCTCTCCTAATTTCATTCTGGTGGGCAGCAGCAAAGGTCTGAATTCCAATCTACAGTTTATATGGTTAGATGAACACATATATTTTTATAAATAACATGCTATTGTTTATGTTTATTAGAAAATACATGCAGTTATGTCATGCTGCCTATATCTTTGCAAATCTCAAAACATTGCTGTTTTGAGTTCCATGTTGAAATATAAAATTTAGTGTTTCTTTCAGTAGTCGTACAGCATTTTGTTTTATGAATAAAAATCCTTCTTATAATTTCTCCTACTATTGATAGACACTGAGGTTGCTATGAACAACTCTGTGCTCACTAAGTTTCTAATATTCAAACTTACAAGCAAATTCTTCGAAGGGGTTTACCCAGAAGAGGACTGACTGGGTGCTACACTAAGTGCGTGTTCAATTTTTATCACATGTTGACAAATTACTCTCAGAAATGTTCAGGCCAGTTTGCACTCTCGCCAGCAATGGATTTTAGTACCTGCTTCTAAAATTTTAGCACCTGCTTCTAAAATTTTCAATGCTGGCTATTGGCAAACTTAAATCTTTGCCAATCTGCTACATAAACAAGGATCTCTTCTTACTTCAATTTGCATTTCCCCAATTTACAACATAATCTAGCATCTTTTTTTTATATTTATTGGTTGTTTAGGTTTCTTCTTTTGTGCAATGTTCAGGGTTTTTCATGTGCTTTGCTAGTTTTTTTCCTACTAGGTTATTTGTGGAGATTTTTCTTCTTAATTTATTATCTTTCTCATTAATGATCAATTAATTTTTCTTCCTGGCATTCATAAGTACATTTGCTTTCCTCCAAGTGCAGGGTAAAAAAGGGTAGAGAAACTATGCAATGCAAATATTAATGCCATGCAATGAAACACTGAAGTATAACTGCTAAGGTAAGGGCATTTTTCCTTAGAGTCTAGTTTTCCTCTTTGAAGGTTACACAGATTTGATTCCCATCACATTTCCTACTAAAGCATTTCCATTTTAAATCATACAAGTGCTAATGACCAGAGGGAGGGGAAACACTAGGTAAAACCAGCTAGGTGGCCACTTGTTTTGACTGGAATCACCTATTGAATATTTGTCCATGAAAATCAGGATATGAATCAAAGGAGGCCATTTGAATCTGAAATTTTTGGTATGAATCATTTAACCGCCAGAAACATCTTTTTTAATTTTTCTCAAGTTCATTGTTTATAGCATTTTTTTTTTTTTTTTCTCTAGGTAGGGTGTTCAAGGTCAGTCTCAAGTGGGTACATGGCTTTATTCTCTATCTGGTGCAAATGACATAGATGGTCTCTGGAATTAGGTGAACAACCACAAACAGATCTAAGTAAAAACTTGCCTCAAAGGCCTTTAAATTTCCTACTCAGATTTGGAGAGTAGTTTCTTCTTAGCATCTCGGGAGTTAAACAGAGACAAACGCCGTCTATAGATAGGGAAGCAAAGCAACAGAAAAGAGCTTTTCTTTTACAGACCGGTAGCTGAGCAGGCTCTACACTTCTCACAACAGCCTCCGAGTCATTTCAAAGTCATTTCCTTAAGTGACATTTATCACTTAGCAATCATTGATTAAGCATCTCAGATTTTAGACGTTAACTTTAAAGCTACATGGAGTCATTCTATTTCTTTCCCCTCTTGCTGAGAGCAGGTTTCAATTATGTAATTATGGTTAAAGTGGTCTGTAGAGTTTTTACTCTTATCCTTCATCCTGATTGGATAATGGTTTGCAATGACTGGTTGAGAGCTGTGCAAACACAAATATGAGGAGAAAAGTTTGGATATCTATATAAATATTTACAAACATACTTGACTGTAAACTCTGTTAGGTGAGGGCCTATGCCTGTCCTATTCATGAAGCCCCAGGCTCAGCATTTGGCTCAGCTGATAATCCTAGTTAGGGGGTATGTGCTGGGCATTCTCTGTGCACCACTATTTATTTATTGAATCCCAATTCTGCATTAGTTACTTTGTATTCTATGTCCTTTGTGATCAAAAGTCATCAAGACAAAGTCCCCACTCTCATGGAGCTTACAATCCAGCGGCTAAGAGATATAAGTGACAATGAAGAAAAAAAACGATGCAGAGAAATGGGACAAAGAGTCAGGATGGGCTGGGATAGGATGTTTCTCCACAGAGAGACTGGTCTGAGAAAGCTCCAGAGAAGGGAACTTAGTGACCACCTACTGGCATTTACTAGCTAAATGCATTACTAGCTAAATGCACCAGCAATGCATTTCAATACCTGCTTCTAAAATTTTAGATACAGAGATAGAGATGGAAAATGAGGTAAAGATTGAGATATAAAAAGCCACAATGTCAGCGCTCTACAATAACTACTTCCATTTCAGGAGACAAGAGCTCTGTCCCCTAGTATTTTATTTGGGTCAGTCTAGCAGTCTTGGGGAGAAGTGACGAACGCATTGATTTTAGATGACAGGAGTTAATGAATTTTTAAGAAAACAGTCTCTTTTTCTGGGGGATGAGGGGGAATAGTTTACACTTTAGAGAACAGCTGGTTTCTATACAGCTTGGTGGTGGGTTGGGCTATTAATTGCCTAAAGTATTTTGGGATTATTTCTGACTACCTATCTCTCCCTCAGCTCACTGGATCAGGGTGAATCTTCAAGCTTCTTGAAGTTGGAATCCTGCAGGCAGCTACAAACGATGGCTCACGGGGTGATCTGACAAAAACTTACTCAAAAAACATATAAGGCACCGTCCCAGGTCATGGGTGGAAGCTGGCGCTTGCACAGCAAAACGTGCAGATTGATGATTCTCTAAATATCGATTTCATGCAGCCTTCCCCCTAGTTTCACTTATTTTAAAAACTCCAGTTCAACTTCCTAACAGTATCTAATAGGTGTTCAACGTTTCTGGCTCCCTCCCCCTACTGCCTGCCTAAAAAAGAAAAAAAAAAAAAAAAATCATGCTTTTTTTTTTTTTTTCACTTTTCTTCGCCAAGGTCTTAAATCACAGATGTTTCAGAAGCACCTTTGATGGGGTTCATCGTTTTGTTTATTTTGTTTCAGTCGTTGCAGACACCTTCAAACTTCCTCCTCCAGCAAAGTCGTCCCCTGCCCGGCTGAGGATCCCAGCTGCAGACCTTGCAGCCGGCTGACTTCTGCACGGGCTGCAACTTCCACGCGCAGACCCGGCGGCCTCTCCGAGGACCCAGTTCTCCAGCTGCAGAGCAAACGCAAGTGTTCGCCCATTTCCAAAACTATCTCTGCAATTGGTCTGCTGGCCACCCCGGGTCTCTCAGTAACCAACACAGAATGTGACATCCGCTCTTCACACACGTAACTTTTTGTCTTAACTTTCTGGGAAGTTGTTTCCTGGCGCTTTATTTTTGCCTGCTTGAGTCATCTCTAACATGCAACCCCAAACCGCTTCTCGCCCAGCGACAGTTTTCTCTTTGAAAAGATGGTGTAGAAACAGAAACCTGGACTTCTGAGGGTTCCTGTAGGCGGACTGCACCCCCTGCTCTCGGGTCCGCGCGCCCGCAGCCGCGGCCGTCAGCATCCGAGCCGAGAGCGCTCGTGGCGCGCGAGCGGGGCAGGAGGGGGTCCTGTTGGAGAGCGCGCCGGGGTACGCCCGGGGGCCGAGGTCAGCGCCTCGAAGTTGGGGGCCTCGGGGCGGAGGGCCCTGGGGCCGCAGTCCCGCTCCCTCGGGGGGCCAAGAGCCGCCTGATCTGCGCGCTCCCCGGCAGCCCCGCGCGTCCCAGCGCCGTCTCCACGAGCCGGCACCTCGCGGGACCGACGCAGGCTGCGCGGAGCCGGGAAAGGAAAAAGCCCAGGCCCGGGGGCGGAGGGGGAACGAGGGGCCAGGAGCCTGGGGGATTTCCTCCCGCGCTTCCCTCTCCAACGGGAGCGGAAAATGTGATTTGCTGTGCATTCCAGGCGCGGTTCCCTGGGGTGACCTCTCCCAGCCGGCCCGGGCGGGGGAGCAGACAAAGAGGCGAGGCAGGCGGAGAGGGGACCCCGCGGGGAGGCAGGCGGGGTGCGGGGGGCGGGGGCAGTACCGGGAAAGGGGGCGGATAGCGGGTCCGGCCGCGGCGACGGCGTCTGGCCAATGGAGAGGCACGGCCCGGGGCGCCGCGCTCGGCCGCCGGCATTTAAACGGGAGCCGGCGCGATGCCCCGCACTCGGTGCGCCCTCCGCGGACCGGGCGACCCCGTGTGCAGCTAGAGCCGCGCTCCCTGCGCAGCCGACCCCGCGCCCAGCCCGGGCGGCTCGGGCCGCGGCCGCACGCAGCGCCACGCGTCGAGAGCGCAGGTCCCGGGGACCCGCCGCGGTGACAGGTGAGCGCGCGGGGCGCGGCGTGTGCGGGGGCGGGCGTGTGCGTGTGGAGGGGGCCCGCTGCGCCCCGGGGTGGCGCGCCGTGCGGACAGGCGGCGGCCCCGCGAGACCGCAGGCCGAGGTTGCGTGGGATCGACCCTGGAGCGCCCTTGCGGGGTTCCGACTGCCAAGGGCCTGGCCGCGGGCACCCCACTGCGCGCGGTGTGCCCGCTCGGGCTGGACGAGAGGCTGCCTGTCAACAGCGGGCTCGCCAGCCCGGCTCCCCAGGTCCCCGGGCGAGCGCCGGGCTAACGCGCCTGGGGCGCGCGTGGCGGCGCGACCGAGCAGAGCTGCCCCATATGGCACGAGCGCGAACTCCGGGCGACGCGAGCGCGGGAGCGCAGGGAGAGTGAGCTGCAGCCGCGGGGAGCCGCGGGGACCGGACGGCCGGCGGAGTCCTGTGCTGCAGGCGGGCGCTGGGCCCGGGACTTCTGGGGCGCACGACCCCGCCGCGGGCTGGCGCGTGCCGAGATCCGCGCTGGGTCCGCTGGCAGGCTCCCTGGGTGAACCGGAGACTCCGGGTAACGTGGAGCCGCCCGGGTGGGCCACTGCAGAAACCCAAAGGGTCGGCTAACCAGACAACTGAAGCGAGGCGGTGCTGTCTCCGACGCCCGGGCCGGGGACCCGCAGTGCTCCCGCACCCACGTGCTGGCTGCGCGCTGGCGGCGCCGGGTGCCGGCTCCTCTGCTGCTCCCCGCCCCGCGTGCGCTGGGCAGCTCGGCTGACGGCCAGGCGCCAGGCGGCTGTCTCGCCTCGCCCGAGGCACTTGCGCGGGCGCCTCTTCCTCTGCGCCCCAGGGTCCCTGGTCTGGGCTCCCCGCGCTCGCCAGCGACGGGTGACGCGGGATTGGTGACTAGGGGCAGGTCCCCGGCTTGGGCGCTCGGGCCATCGCGCCTCCTCATGTGCCGCCTTGCTCGCCCTGCGGACCCCTCAGCCATTTGTGGAGCAAGATGGGGGGCATCTGGGCGGGCATCTCGCGGCGGGAGTTATCTGTAGACTTCAGACTTGGGAAGAACCGATGCATCCCCGCTCTCCCTTGGCATTGCCTTCGGACCCCAACTCTGCCTTGTGGGCGCCCCAGTCTGGCGTTCCACCCTGCAGGGGTTAAGCAAAGTTTGCCGGGCCTGGTAGGGTGGGCGCAGGAGGAAGGTGGCCAGCCTTGGCGGTGAAGCCCTTCTTGCGCACCCAGAACTGGCCAGAACGGACTCCTCAGTGGAACCCAGCTGCAGCCTTCTCCAAACCTACCCCGAATCCCAGCTCTTGAAGACAGAGAAATGGTCTCCACGTTAGGGGATTAAGATCACTTAAGTGGTACAAGGGAGAGAGGCGACCTTCAGTAGGTAATTGGAGCTTCTGCTGAAAAGAACAGATCCCAGGGATGTCCCTATCCATTTCTGTTCCCCTTTCGAGATGGTGCCAGGACACGAGTGGATTAAAACAATCTACTGTGTGAAGTGGGTCACCAGGGTGTTAAGCTGTCCCAGGGCCCCCAGAAGAGTGGTTTCCTTCTGGCTATACACACAAGTTAAATAAATAGCAAAGAAGAGGTTAAGATAACCTCGATCCCAGAGTGAGGAGTCTGCTTTCACCCCAGGGCTTTGCAGGAGCCCTCCCCTTCTTTTGGAAGGGGGTTGGTATGGGGAAATTGAAGGGAAACCACAGATTCTCATCTCCCTCCTGGCACAGCCAAGTATGCAGCAGTATATAATCTGATTACTAGCACTGGATAAATGGCACTGTCCAATTCTTAGTATTAGCTAATTATTTAAGGCTTCTTTAGAACTGTTGCTGCTGCTGCTGGGGGGTGTGTGTGTGTGTGTTTGTTTAACCCTCAGGTCATTGTAGGAATTAACGTGTTGTAAACTTTGTAATTTTACAGGTTTCCTATTTTCTTAAACTTTTGAGTGAAATGTTTTGGTAACCCACGGTCTATAGGAAATCCAAGTTGGCTAATGTATTCTTAATATGAAGTGGCCACACATAGGGGAGAATAGAAACCAGTTGTGCCCCCCCTTTCTTAGAGTTGCCTGTCCTGGCTTCTAAACCCAAGTTCTCAGTCTTAATGCTTAAGTATTAAAATTGATAAAATGCCCAGAAATTTTATGCCACAGACCACTCTCCCAAGAAATGTCTGTTGACAGTAAAGTTGGGGAATGTGTCCTAGAAGACAGAGTAAAGGACAGAGGTGAAAACTTGAACCTTTTATGTGAAGGAAATAGAAGAGGGGGAGGTCACTGAGGTATCCAACTGAAAGGCACAGATTAGGCAAGTGTTGCCAGCCCATGTCTTACATCTGCAAGGAATTGTCTGCAGTTTGAACATACGCTCTTAGAAATGCAAAGTACAATAGTATTTCCTAGGACAAGAGAAGTATTTCACTTCACATGTGAACGTGAAGATATAAAATAGGTAATTATTTGAGTTACAATATTCTTCAAACTTCATTTCATTAGAAACAAGTCCATGTGTCCCTTGTTAACTACTATGCCGTGTGTTCACGGACCTCTGACTAACATGTGTTTGGAGTCTACATAGACCTGTCCTCAAACTTTGGCTCTGTCTGCCACACGGGAGCTGTGACCTTGGACAGTTTCTGGACTTCCCCGACTCTGAATTCCCTGATTGGTAGAAGGAAGAAAAAATTATCTACTTCATAATTCATTGCAAAAAGAATATATAAATGTAGTCAGAACTTAGCATAATGCCTGGCATGGTAAGGGATCAAAAAAAAAAAAAACAACTCATATTATTAGGAAAGGCAGTTCTATATGACACCAGTATATATCACAGGGTGGTCCTGAAATTAAATCCCACATCCCATTTACACAGAGACTAACACACATCTTTCATTATAATACAGACTTTGTAATTTGGCTGTCTCTCAATCGTGCTACTCAGTGAACATTTAATATTACTTTCTAACTCGTTTTCTGTCAACCACAAGAGTTGTATGCCACCATGAACGTCACCAAAAAATCTTATGGTGAGCATAGCGCTCCTGAGTAACTGCCAGGTGGTCTCCTTTCTGCTCCATGCGATGTTGGACCCCAGTCTGATTCAACATGATGGTCTTCAGAATAGGGAGGTTGTGATTAGACCACTAGCAACACATGCAAGATGTGACTCTAACCTCTAGTAGTTTGCAAACCATTCTTCTTACCTTCTTGGTGGAACTTGTCTAAAAAAAAAATCAACTCAGTCTATTCTTAAGGCAAAAGTCTTTACTTAATTTCTATAAGTTGACTGTCTTTTTTTATTGTCTTTAGCAAATGAACAATAATCTTTGTTCGCTTCAAAGATTTAGTCCTGACAGATTATTCTAAAACTTGGCCTGCACTTAGGGCATTTGCTGTCATTTACCTTATTTTTATTATTACTACTTTTATTCTGGGTGGATTATTGGAGATCATGCCTGCTGACATCTTTCTAAACCTTGATTTAACAGGAGGAATTGACCAGAAGTTACCAGACAGAGACATCTGACTTGCTGAGCACTGTTTCTTCACTGTAACTCCCACGTATCACTCCCTTTAACTTATTGTGAGCAGGTTGGTTGGTTACAGTGAGAAATAGGCCAAAAGAGTACCCCAAAAGGCTGTCTCAGTTTTTCCAAAGACGTTGCGAACATTAGAAACAGGTCACACCCAACATTTTTATTTCTTAGAGCCTTAGTGAAGATTGGAATAAATTTCCACAACCTGCACAAGAGAGAGGTAGCTGGTATGGGTTCTCTTGAGCACAAATGTTTGCTGTTGATCAATTAGGGAAAAGTGGAAGAAAGCTTCAGGTGAAATAGACCTGCTTGGCAAATATAAATATCTATGCCCTGTTGACAGGTGAACTGGGGGAGAAGATGGTGTTAAAGAAAACAACAACAACAGGGGGCCTCCCAGGTGGCCTAGGGGTTAGGTCGAAACACTATGAAGCTATCCGCAGCCACTGCATCACGACATCCATCCCCTGCCAGGGAGATGCCCGCATGGTGCAGCAGACCCCTCCTGTCTCACCAGCTGCTCCCCTCAGCAGTGTATTTCAGTCAATCTGCCTGTTCTGTTCCTCACTTTGTCTCCTGTGAATCCACTCACCCCACCCCCATACCTCTGGCCTGTACCCAAGTTCTTGTTTACATAAATAAATTAACCTTTAAACAACAACAACAACAACAAATTGGGGAGAGGTGGGTTTTGCAGTAGGGAACATTTGCACATAAAGCACCATAAAAATATGATCAAAATATTTACCGAAGCAGGGATGTGTTAAGTTGGAAGCTGAGGCAGAGTTTGGAAAGAAGAAAACTGTCTGCAAAGGAGAAAAACAGATACCCTTTATGGGTGTCATGATGGATTTGGGTCTATGACACAGCTTTCATTTAATGATGTGAGTGGGTCATTTCATGGGTGGGTTATTTCATGAATGGAAATGATCATAAGATATTTGCAGTTCTATGTTGGATGTGAGTGATAATTCACAGGAAACTAAATCTGGATTAGCATTTGAATTGTGCTTTGATGATAGGGCACCTTGCTAGGTGTTGATATGGAAAAAAATTGTCCTTACGGAATTTACATCTTCTTGATTTCCTCCATGTCTCCATGATATTTACAAAGTGCAAATTATTTGGTGACAGTGCAATTGGGATTTCACGAACAAGGCAGTTTTATTCCTTCACTGAATAATCAAGATCAGCTTGGGGGGTGGGGGTGGGGGGGTTGGGGAGGGAATTGGGTGACCACAATGACTTGACAGAGTCCCTGGTTTCAGTTCTAATTATAGTTTAGTCCCCCCCACTCTTATTCAAGTGGAATATGCAGACTGCCTCCGAGTGCTGCTATTCTTAAGAAGCTGAGGCCTTTGTTGACTGAGATTCCTGAAGTTGGTTTTTACTTGTCTCCAAATAATTATTTATAAACTTTAAGAACTCAAAAGTCTTGTTATAATCACTGAAGATCTTTCAAGGGTAGCCCTTTCTTTAAAAAGTGAAAAACCAGTGCATAACTTTTTCCACATCTAATAAATCTTATTTTGAGAAAAATTAACTGTTCTTAAACAAACAAACAAACCAGCCTGTCATTCTAGACTCTTTTGGTTTATGGGGTATGCGCGCGCCCATAGGAACAGGAAGTCTGTCCAAATTAAAACTGAAAACCACAATTGACTCATTTTGAATTAACTACTTTATTGATGGTTCCTGCTATAGTGAATACAATGACTTGAATTAGAAACTAAAACTCACAGCATTCCACAGGGGATCAGGTAAAAAGTAGTGGACATTAAGAGGTTCCCTAGGTTGGGAGGGTCAGAAATCTAAAGGATCATGATGAATGGGCTGTGCCTCTCCCTGGCACATGTGAAGGCAGCTGAAAATGTAAAGAACAGGAACTTTCTAAGTCAATGTGCTCCATAACAACCCCTTCCTTACCAGTTAGCGGCTACTGTGGCAGGCACTCATGAATAAGTCCTCCTGGCTCTTAGACGTGATACTTGCTTAATGATAGATGTGGACATGCCAGGTAGAAAGAATTGAGTATACAGAGGGTCCAGAGTCAGTTGGGTAGACTGTCTGGGGTGGGGGTGGGGGGCGGAGGTGGCCTCATGGTGTGACCCTGCAGTCAGGGTACATTCCCTGTCAGTCCCAGGTGGACCCATGTGATGGGGAGGCCCATTCAGACCTCCCAGAGGTCTGAATCTTCCCTACAGGCCATTTTTAAAAGGGCTGGGGAAGATGTGGGCCTAGATCTGGAAGTGACTTATGTGTTCCTCTCTGGAAGAAGGCCGAGACTGAATTTTAGTTTAGATCCTGACCCGAATTGAATAAATAGCAGAAACTTGTGAAAGCTTCTCAAATTCACAATATATTTGCCCAGGAGACTGAGCGGTCATGGTTCAAGTTATCCCGGTCTCTGGAGAAAATCAGCACTGGTTTATAACTAGACTTTTCTCATGAGTGATTTTTTAAAGACAAAACAAGAAAATTAATTTTTTGTTGTTGTTGGGGGCAAAAAAAGTTCTGTTTAAAGAACAGGGATATTGTAACATAAACTGACAAAAACCAGGGAGTCTGCAGTCAGGGCAGGAACTAAATGTCACATTATCAGCTTCAGACTTGAACTTGCCCTACAGTATTAGGTTAACGTTGGAGATAGTGCCATTTAAGGCTATTTTAACATTTAATTATCTTCATTTGAGATTATCCTTCAGGTTGAATGGTCTTACCTACCAGGGGGCTGTTCCTTAGCAACTGTGGATTCCACACAGCCTTTGTCTTTGAAAGATAATTGCCCTAATATCTTTAATAGTGCTAAGGTGTGTAGTGCTAAGGTGTGTAGTTCCTTAGGGTCCATGATAACGTTACTATTAAATTGCACTTAGTGGTTATCATGTGCAAGCTGGTGCTCAAAAGTGAGTGGGATGGGGAGGGGCGTGTGTGTGTGTTGGGGGGAGGTGAGAATTGGTGTGTCACAGCTGTGCCATTAAGTCTAGAAAACCATGTTTTCTGGGATGGGGGTAGGGGAAGCTTCAGGACTAGGTCAGATATTTGTGATGGCCTGAGGAGGGAGACTGTGAATTGGAAACTGCCGTGGAAAAGAAAGGCCTTCCATATTTTTATAATCCGTGCCCCTTGGTGGCAAGTACTCCAGCCTTGCTGCTCAAAGCTTGTTATAAAGGCAGATCTATGGCTTCGGATCTGCATTTTAACAATATCCCCAGGTGTGGTCTGCACCATCAGGTCTGAGAAGTATTGTCCCAGGAGAAACTCAATCACCTGATGCTTCTCTCTTGCACTCTTTTTTAAAATATGCTTCTTCTGGGCCTCCTCCCCTCTTCCTCCGATATCTGCCCTACTGTCCACGAATATCCTGCCTCTAGAATAGCCCTCCTTTCTCTGATTTACACTCTGAACTCATTCATTTCTTGCCCTCTTTCCTATAGGTGTCCCCTCCTCTGCCTCTACCCATCCCTTTGAATGTTTTTCTTGCCATTGGTCATATGCCATCGCCCTTTCTGACTCATATCTAGCTCCAAACCTAGCCACAATAATTCAATTATTATTTATTCAGTGTAAATAAATATTTACCTTTATTGATGTAAATATTTCCATAGACAAGTTCTCTTGCATCCGTTTTTTCTACCTTCTAAATTGTATGCACACACCTGCACACATACATGTGAATGACATAATGAATATCCATGCCCAATTTAAAAAACGAGACTAAGTGAGCAGTTTGGGAGTCTTTTTTTTTTTTAAAGATATATTTATGCATGTAAGAACTGGGGTACAGGCCAGATGTGCGGGAGGGTGAGAGGATTCACCAGTGACAGAGTAGGGAACAGAACAGGGAGATGGACTGAAACACTGCTGAGGGGAGCTGCAGGGAGACAGGAGAGGTCTGCCGCACCATGTGGGTAGCTCCCTGGCTGGGAATCGAACTTGTGCTGCAGAGGTTGAGGACGGCTTTATAAGTTGCGTCTTAACCACTTGCGCCACCAGGGAGGCCCAGCCTGTGTTATATTAATGTTTAATTAAATAACTTTTCCACGGTTCATGTCTCCAATCTTTTTCTCTGCCGCAGCATGAGCCGCACCGCCTACACAGTGGGAGCGCTGCTTCTCCTTTTGGGGACCCTGCTACCGGCTGCTGAAGGGAAAAAGAAAGGGTCCCAAGGAGCCATCCCCCCGCCAGACAAGGCCCAGCACAACGACTCGGAACAGACTCAGACGCCCCAGCAGCCGGGCTCCAGGAACCGGGGGCGGGGCCAGGGGCGCGGCACGGCCATGCCGGGGGAGGAGGTGCTGGAGTCCAGCCAGGAGGCCCTGCACGTGACCGAGCGCAAATACCTGAAGCGAGACTGGTGCAAAACCCAGCCGCTCAAGCAGACCATCCACGAGGAGGGCTGCAACAGCCGCACCATCATCAACCGCTTCTGCTACGGCCAGTGCAACTCCTTCTACATCCCCAGGCACATCCGCAAGGAGGAAGGCTCCTTTCAGTCCTGCTCTTTCTGCAAGCCCAAGAAATTCACCACCATGATGGTCACACTCAACTGCCCGGAACTGCAGCCCCCTACCAAGAAGAAGAGGGTCACCCGCGTGAAGCAGTGTCGTTGCATATCCATCGATTTGGATTAAGCGGGGCCTACCCAGCCTGTCCTAGGGATGCAACCCCAGGCAGGCCCCGAGCCAGACCTAAAACAGCCCGATTTTTAATTGGCTTAAACCTAGAGGCCAGAAGAACCACCGCCTCCTGGCAGGAGCCTGCTAGTGCGTAGTTTGTGTGCATGAGTGTGCTAGAGGGCACTTCTTATTATGCAAACGTATCCACTTCCCCTGCATGGCACAGAAGGCCTACACCACCTGGGCACACTCAAAGGGGCAGGGTTGTGGTCTGGTTCTGCCTCTGTCTTCCTGGCCCCCCGGGTGCTAGACTCTCCCTTCAGAGTGAATGTTAATGGAAGAGGCCACTGGGAGGGCAGGAGGCTCTTCAGTGGCCTAGACTTGGCAAAGGTATTTCGACCTGTGCCTGCTTCTCCCTCCCTCCTCCCTTCCACAGACTGTCCCTTCTTCAGTTCTCAGTGACTATTTTGGTCTGCTCCCCTTTCTGCCAAAGTTTCTAAATGAACTCATTTGAGCACAGATATGAATGTTTCCCATTTGGCAAGACCCTTTACCAGGGGGAGGTTGGCACAGGAAGGGCAGGAAGGAAGGAAGATGCGAGAAGGGAGACGTTGACCAGTGAGCCCAGCAAAACTCAGTAGAGAGAATAGCGTCTTGAGAGGAGAACCCCCCAGATCCCCAAATACAGTGAGACTTGTGCTATGGCAAAAGGTTTTTTCCTAGTATTTACCAGAACTCAAGTGAACAGAAGAGAAAGAGACTGTCCAAAAGTCCTTAACTTTGGTTGTCATTGTGATCTGCTGGAACCAACCCAAATCCAAATTTCAACCCTAAAATGCCAATGGTTCCTACTTTCAGAACAAGTGAGCTAAACTTGAGCAACCCCTCCTGCTTTGCCCCTCAGGTAGGATGATAGATGTAAGTTCTCTAACTACACGCAGGGATGGCCACGGAATAAAAACGGCCTAGGCAGAAGGCCCCATGATCTTCCTTTTGCTTGGTTATAATCACCTCTTCCCCAGTTCATAATTTCTATGTCATGCTTCTGACAGTCACACGTCTGTGCTGTAAAGACTCTGCCTCTGCTGCGTAGGAGACCCAGCTTCATAGGAGAGCGTTCAGGGCCTGCCATCAAGACCCATCAAGACCCAGCCTCGTAGGAGAGCATTCAAGGCCTGCTCCAATTTAGCTGGAAGTATGTTTTGAGTCTTTTCATTTTAGCCACTGTTAGGAAACTGAGCTGGAGAGAAGAGACAGGAATTAAAGGGGATTGCCCCACTGAGGAGTAGCTTGTTACCTGGGCATGTAATATAAAGGATGTGACCTCCTGTTCTTCCTTGGCCCTCTGAGGGTCAAATGGGAAATTGCAGTTAATAAATCTGAGCATTTGGGTGTGTTCGATAGCTGGCTGTTGCCAGGAGGGTTCGTGTAGGTAGTAACCATCCAATCCCTAGTAGGCACTGTCCCCTGATTAAACTCTGGCTAATCACGATGCCTACTGAGGGTTTATCTAATGGCCAAAATGTGGGGTGGGTGAACCTTACTGTGTTTCGCATTTGGCTAACCTGTTTTCCTTCAGACCTGAAGCTTTAGATTTAAACCCCATTCCCAGACTCTTTTTGCCCCACCAGCCAAGTAATATGGGAAACAAACACCACAGACTTGCATTTCAGTTGCCCATCAAAAGGCCCCAGTGTTCAAAGCACCATCAAGAGTCTGCTTTTATTTTATTTTTGTTTTGGTCCAGTGCTCTCCCATCTAACAACTAAACAGGAACCATACTTGGAGGCAGAAGTTATCTTGAGCACCCAAAACGTAGGGTCTAATTTTAAAACTCACTACTGATGATTCTACACGAGGTGAATTTGAGCAAACACATCGTCTGTGCATTTTGTGTACAGTGTATGCCCCAGCTCCAAATCTTTCTATCATCCACATCCTTCAACAATAAAGCACAGAATGGATCTAATTAAGCACACGAAGGCTAAGCCAAAATTTTGAGGGTGGGGGAGAGGAAAAGAAAGGGGAAGGAGCTGAAAATGTAAAACCACACTAGAGAGGAAAAATGACATTCAGAACTAGCAGACACTGAATTTCTCTTGTTGTTTTAACTCTGCCACAAGCATGCAATTTTGTTAAAAAGAGATGACTTAAGTTGGCAGCAGTAATCTTAGTAGCTTGTACCACAGTCTTGCATGTAAGTCGGATTTGGCTTAAGTAAAGAGAATTTCCTCAAAATCAACTTCACTGAGATAATCAGCAGCATAACTGCCCTAAAAAAGTACAGCACGAGCCAAAGAGGGAAACGCCTGCTTCTCTTTCTGGGCCTTTATGAAGAGTAGCACAAGTGTGGTGTGTCCCCAAGAGTTACTGAAAGTGCCATATCTCTTCCATATTGTATTGGAGTCACCGATGATGTCATGATAGGTTTCTGTTCATTACTATAGTAGATTTTTTTTTTTAATGACAAGACATTTGTGATCTCGATCTTTCCTATGAAGATAATGCCAACCACTAAATATGAGTTCCACGATGTACGCTTTGTGCTTGGCATTAAAAGAAAAACACACATTCCTTAAGTCCGTAAGTTGTTTTTTGTTATTGTAGTTCTTCAAAGTTAAAAATGTAAGCGAAAAATCCGGAGGAAAGGATAATTTCCACTGTGTGGAATGTGAATAGTTAAACAAAAAGTTATGGTTATTTAATGTAATTATTAATTCAAATCCTTTGGTCACTGTGATTTCAAACCTTTTTTTTTTTTCTCCTTTATATGCCTTCCTCTGAGTTGAGCAAAAACACACCGTGCATGGTATTGGAGGCTTTTATCAGGTCAGAGGGAAAACACTGAACTCTTGACAAGTCTGAGTATGCGTTACAGAGTCGAGGCCTGAGCTTTTATTATTTGAATGGACTGTTCCTTAAAGGTTAATATTTCTGAGGCAATATTAAGACAGATTTTAAATGTTATTTTGGAAGACTTCTGATGTGTGTATGTAAACAAATAGCAGATCGTTCACAAGTCCTTTTAAGGAGAGAATCTCAAATAAAAAAAAAGTGTATGTCTAGACCATTTATAAAGAACCAGTTAATGCTTAAGAGTGAGAGTAGTTCTACTGATTTGTCATTCTCAAGATATTTAATATCAACTGCATTATGTATTATATCAGCTCTAATCATTTAAAAATAACAGAGAATTATATAGGCTTTGATTGAGGTACTTTGCTGTGTATAAGGTTGAGGGAATTTGAGTCTCATAAAAGCTAATTTGGTTTAAAGCAACGTTTTGTGAATCTGTAACTAGAATTTCACCCCAATAATGTTCTATATAATCTTTCCCAATGAGCAAACAATAAATCGAATTTCTTCTCTGCTTGTGTGTGTGTGTGTGTGTGTGTGTGTGTGTGTGTGTGAGAGAGAGAGAGAGAGAGAGAGAGAGAGAGAGAGAGAGACAGGTAGTGGGCACAGGGGGCATTGAGATGGGTTCGTTTGTCATGGAAAGGGAGGTATAAAAGAGATGGTTAGATCACTTATGATCACAAAGGGGATTTATTCCATCTGACCTTCCAGATCCTTCTTGATTTCAGCCTCAGGTTGTGGCAGTGAGAAAGCCCCTTTGCAATTGAAAAAAGAGCTAAGGAGGGTTATGCTTGTGCCTTCAGACAGTTGGAATGGTTGTCACAGTCACACAGAAAATATAACAGCTTTATGTGAGCCAGCCCCGGGGAATAATGGGAGATTGAGATTGGTTCAGTAGGGAGAAAAACTTTCTTTTCTTTTTTTTATTTCTCTTGAGGTAATGTGGGTTTACAACACTGTATATGTTTTAGGGGTATAAGCTCACACCTCTTCAGATGTATGTTACCACACCATGCCCAGCACTAACAATCTTCCACCACTGCCCACTGGACCCCACTCACCCCAATCCTTCTGCTCTGACTGCCTCAGTTCTGCAATCATTTTTCAAGGGTTTGTTTTTATCTCTTCCTTTGCTTCATTTCTTTATATTCCACATATGAATAGGAATGAAATCATCTGGCATTTGTCTGTCTCAGAAGGGAAAACTTTTAAATGGTGAGAGTGATTCAGTAATGCCTGAGCTGCCTTTGAGATGGTGAACTCTGTGTCTTTGGAAATATTAAAACATACATCAGATATTATTTGATGGGTATGTGAGGTCAAGAGAGTCATTGCGCTGGGTATACAACTGAACTAGTGGATGTCTGAAGTCCCATCCTACTCAGACACACGAAACAGGACTTTTCCTAGATATTGGTTCTCTGACAAGATAATGAAAATATCAGAAGCTATATATGAAGTGCTTGTGCCAGACACTGTGCTAAAGATTTTATATTGTTTCACATCTAATCTAATTACATCTAATCATGCAACATTTGTACTGTTACTGTCTTTACCAGGGGCTAGTGAACACAGGGTTTTACTCCAGCACTTGTGCATGAAACGCTATACACAACTGTGAGATTTTCAATTAATATCAGTTTGTCCTTTGAAGGACAGAGCACAGTATCTAAAGACATATCCAACTCTTGATTATTCAGATCATGTGATTAAGAATACCCTGAGGTTGGAGTTGCCGTCATCAGGAGCCTTAACTCTGAGGCATTCAGCCAAATATTCTTTGCCCCCTCTCTTTTTGTTATGGCCTCCCTGGACTTGGAGGGGAACAATGGCATAAGAACCATGGAGACACTGTCCTCAGAAAAGTCATACTCAGGAGGTAACATCTGAACAGCTCTTGAAAGGGTAGTAAGACTTGATCCAGAAAGCTATCAAGGTACATTTTCATTTTCCATTAAAAATGAAAAGTATTTGGGGCCTCCCCAGTGGCGCAGTGGTTGAGTGCTGGGTTGCGAAGCTGCCCGCAGCCTCTGCAGCGCCGGTTCGATCCCCGGCTACTCCCCGGCCACCGGAGGAGGGTCCCACATGGCGTGCAGATCTCTCCTGCTACCCGCTGCTCCCCTCAGCAGTGTACCTCGGTCCTTCTGCCTGCTCTGCTCCCTGCTCTGGCTCTGGTGAATTCTCTAACCCTCCTGTACTTCTGACTGTACCCAGTACTTGTATAAATAAATAAAAAAATAAATTAAAAAAAAATAAATCTTTAAAAAAAATGAAAAGTATTTGATGGAATGTCAGCAAAAATATAGAGTGAGGAACTCTGAAAATCCCCTTCTCTATAAAACCAGTGAAAAACTGGCAATAGTCAGAGTCAACTCTCTAGAACTCTGGAAATTAACCAAGGGCTTGCAGTAGTCTGGGGAGCATTTATTCAACAAAAAGGCTGAATCTCTGTAAGAACACTGAGCATCGTGATATTGTAACTTGTCCTGTTTTATCTTCCCTCTCCAACTTCTTCAAAGTCTAACCAACCAACAGTAGGAAAATACCAAGCAATCTGGCAACCACTGGAGGAGGTACAATGGAATTGAAGATCCTTCAAAGTCAGATTCCTGGAGAATTATCATTAGCTGACTTGTCAGGCCCTGGAGGCTCTATTGGCAAGGATATCTTTATTTGGCCTGACTGGAAACTACCCACTGTGAAACACTTGCTGAAAACAACTAGAGGCAACTGATTGTCTTTGTGGCAGAATTGACTAGTGGAGAATGGCTGGGGCAAATAAGATGATAAACAAAAATCTTAAAAGGAAAAGCTGGGATATGAGCTTTCTTTAAGGCTTTGAAAAACTTCAAATATGTTATGGAGATTCAAGAAAACCAAATGCATGTCTAGGGCTGTGTGTATGGCCAGGGCTGTGCCAAGGTTAGGATGAATCTGAGGCCTGAAGCTCTTACCTCAGGCTGACCTTGAGGTGCTGCACAAGCAGGAAGTGAAGGTTAAGGCAGAGCTGTCAAATGCCTGACTGAGTGTTGAAAGAGTGTCCCAAAATTCACACAGAGCCCAACAGCAAAGACTGGTAGACTCATTGATTCCAAATGTTTAAGGAAATCACTTTTCAGCTATTAGCTGACACTAAGCTAACCAAGTAAAGACTTCAGTGGCCACACACACAAAAAATACAGACTTTATATAATTAATTCAGAAAAGTTACTAAACAAAGAAACAAACAATAATAAATAGCAGCAGCAACAAATCCTGGGGTGGGTGGGGGGGAATTATTTCAAACACTGCCACATTATAATACTGAAAATGCCCCGTTTTCAGCAAAAAATTATAAGACATGCAAAGGATCAAGAAAGCCTGGTCTATACAAAGGGAAAAAAATAATGCAAACAAAGAAAATGATCCAAGGAAGCTCAGACATTGGACTGATTTGACAAAGACTTAAAATCTACTGCTTCAAGTGTTCAAGAAACCATTTCATGGAACTTAAGGCAGATAGGAAAGTGAAAGTTCACCAAATCATGAATACCAATAAAGAGACTGAAATTATGAAAAAGAATAAGATAGAAATTGTGAAGCTCAAAAGTATAATAATTGAAATGAAAAATTTACTAGACAGGCAGAACAGTAGATTTTAGCAGACAGAAGAAAACTGACAAATATTTACCTAGAATGAGGGGTTGGGGAAAGAGAGAGAGAGAAGGAGGGATTGAGAGAGAGAGAGAGAGAAGGAGGGATTGAGAGAGAGAGAGAGAGAGACTTCAAATAAGGAACAAAGGAGGGAGCATTACTACCAACCTTACAGAAATAAAAACGATGACAAGGGAACACCATGAACAACCATATGTCAACAAATTAGATAACTTAGATGAAATGGACAAATTCCTAGTGTTACAAGGAGTCTGATTCCATTTTTTGCTTAACAACCAACATCTTTTAACCTCATGCTTCCCTGTTCCCCTTCTGCTCAACACATCTGGCCAAACTGATAAGAAATTCCAGCTTCCCCCTCGTTTGGCTGTGATGGGATAATGGACCCATACAAAGCTCTGCCTGCATGTGGGGAGCCTCATCCCAGTTTCAAAAGAAATTGTTCTTTGAATTACACTTATAACTAGTGTACTAGAGCCATTTTCACAAATTTTCAAAAATCTTATTTTCATGAAATATATGAATGAGTGTTCTTGACTATAAACAATAGAATTCACTCCAATTAGCTTAATTACAAAGAGGTGTTTTAAAAGTTAATAGGCAGGTAGCTCACAAAATCTCAGGGGAGCAAATCGTTTTGTTTGAAGGCTATAAATAAATAGAAGACCCAGAAATGACCTAGCCATGGCAAAGGCCCAACGCCATAGGGGGCTATTGTAGAAAAACACCACTGGTTTGTCCACTGTTCATTACTCATGTCACTAGAGACAGCCTAAATGCCCAAGAAGCTGGGCTCCCTTCCCATGCTTGACAGAAGTTTCAAGAGCTCCTGTGACTGATCGCTGACTCAAGTTGGTTGCTTCTTGTCAGTCTAGTTGGTGTATCTGCTAACTGCAACTTGGTGCGAAATATAAACATTCATTTCAAGGGCGGCCGGGAACGGCAAGTGTTTAACTGTCTGTTCTCTAGTACAGGAGGCCGTCTAGAAAGGCACTGGAAGGGGCGCCAAATGGAAAAGATACCACACAAAGTAAATCATGAAATGGGAGGAAAAGAGATTTTGAAAGGCTTATCTTGTGAAACAGCACTCATTTGCTTCTTGGTCTCATTTCTCACAGTTGACCATTTTCATTTCTTCTTTTCCTTACCCTTCACATCCATTTCTCTTGTTTTAATTTACATATTTTCTGTCAACATGGTGTATTGGCAAAGAATACTTGACTTATTCATTCTCCACTTTGCTTGCTCCATACTACCAATACACAGTTATATTACAAATCTGATGGCATCAATAATCAGAACTCACTTGTTAGGACTATCATTATTTACTGCTGAGTTTATTTTTTTTAAAGATTTATTTGTGCATACAAGAGCTGGGGGGTACAGGCCAGAGGTACAGAGGGTTGAGAGGATTCAACAGAGACAGAGTAGGGAACAGAACAGGCAGATCGACTGAGGTACACTACTGAGGGGAGCAGTGGGAGAGTCAGAAGAGGTCTGCTGCACCATGTGGGTAGCTCCCTGGCCAGCTGGGGATTGAACTTGTGCTGCAGAGGCTGTGGACAGCTTCAGAGTGCTGTGCTTAACCCCTTGCACCACCAGGGAGGCCCCTACTGCTTAGTTTAAATCTCTTTTCTTGTTCAACTATTGGATTCTGGAGTTACTGGATTTTTTTTCATTCATTTAGTTAAAAAAATATATTCTTATCCTTACTTGTTACAGACTTCATTAATATATTAATATGTCTGATACTGACTTTTATCAGTTCCATTTTCTTCACGGGAAGACCTCCCTTTCAGGTTACTTTATTTTCCAGCTTCAGCATGTTGCCAGTTGTTCTTTATTTGAGAGACCTGTATTTGAGTCCTTGTGCGTCTTAAAGG